TCAAATCAAAAGACGTCTACACATTGTTACCTTTTTTTGGTGTTAAGTCTCAATGTATATTTAATGCAACATTGCTGTGCAGCTTTTCCAGCCGTACATTAAAACTATCTACACTCCATATATATACTATGGAATACATGTGATTGATTTGATCCTACTCTGTACTTCTTTCTTTTGTTTACTTGGTAAAAAATTGGTTGAGACAGTTGCCTCACTACCTCAATTGAAGCTATATGTACGTCACTATATACATTTGCATATTATCAACTTTGCCATTTGTCAAAACTGTCAAGAATCTTTAACAAAAAACGACTTTATAATTTCAGAAACACAGTAATCTGTAATAAGTCATTTCTGACAATACAGGATTTCTCTTACATTTAAGAATTTTTTCACTTTAAACAAATAAAAATTGATTGATTTTGTTATAATAACATTGCATATAAAAATAAGAAGATGACATAGAAGTTTACAACTTTAGGTCACCATACGGCCTTCAATAATGAGCAAAACCCATACCCCGTAGTCCGCTTTAAAAGGCCCTGAATGACAAATGTAAAATAATTCAAACGAGAGAACTAACGGCCTGAATTATGTACAAAACAATGAAAGAAATACAAATATATGATTCATAAGAATCAGTAGTTTTTGATTGGCTGACAACAATTGTGAGCCATTCCAAAACTATATCTTATTTCTTAATAAAATGCTACATACATGACTGCACATGCTTACAATGCGAATGTCACAACAATGCGTAGGAAAACATTAGAAAAGCTTGACATAAATCTTTATTGTTTTAGAATATAAATATAATTATTAGAATTGAATGGTAATTATTAGAATTGAATGCTTCATTTTGTAATTTCATATATAGGGTTGTAAAAGCCTTGATTATGCACACATTTTTAGCTCTAACAACTTTTGTCAATGCTTTTTCACCGTAATAAAATTACAAAAAGAAGCATTCAATTCTTAGGTATTTCCTTTTTGTTTTGGCGGATTTCCTTTCGTTTTTATTTTGTTTCGCACATTTGTTTTCAAGTACCCTACTTATATAACATATTATATAATTTGCAGAAGAAAGAAACAATTGAATTGTAAATGTAGAGTAGAAACCTGAATTTCCAGATAGGTAGATACTTCAATCAGGCAGTGCTATATGGTTTCTTTAATTCCTTTCTATGAGCTGGTGTAAAGATAGATTCTACCACTGCATCAAGTGTGATATGATATTTGTCCACCAAGACAGTTAAATGTCAAGAGAGGATAAATATCCTATTGCACGAGATTTGGTGGTGGAATCTATTTCTCTTATGATTTTTATACGATATACAGACAATTGTAATCTTTCGTTTCGAATGATCTGCAAAAAGATGTGTTCTTTCTATGTGACGTCATCAGGTATGGTCACCTTTTTTCATGACGTCAAAATAGGAAATTCAGAAGAAAGCAAGAAAATTTGACGTCATAATCAAATTTTGACCAAAGAAGAACTGAGATCAAACAAACCACAAGTTGATTATATAAAAATAATCAACAGGTCAGGAAAAGGATAAATCGGGTAAGAATTAGAGAAAATATTTATTCCTACAAAATGTCACCTTCTGACTCCTTCAAATAAGTTTTGTTATTGTTCTTCTATACACATAGGGTGAGGTACTCTTTGAACACGCAACTTTAATCTCGCAATCAAAATCAGATTGAATGTGACTGCATGTTTATGCATGTAGAACAAAAATGTACTTCTCACATGTTGTACCAATCCAAATATGACCCTCCCCCTAATCAATGTTCCAACTGGTAGTTATATACTTTTAATGGCTTCCTGCATAATAAAGACTCTACATGAGACCAGTCGGTGAACATGCCAAAACTATAAAGCAAATTTTTTTTACAACAAATAGTTAAATTATATGAATATTTAATTTCAGAAAGACTGAGCTGTATTCTATGGGATGGGCTGACATAGTAGATCTCAATAAGTTTGTAGCTGTGGCATCATGTCAGTATGGTGGACCAATAGGTCAGTAAATAAATAAATCCTGTAAGAACCATATCCCATTCCTACAGTTCAAAGTCTTTTGACCCGATCATTTTTAATGGTAAAGTTGAAGTCATTTCTTTAAAAGTTTTACACATTCCATTATGATTTGGTTGACCAATATACATAATATGCACAGGGAAGTTTCACTCACATCAATTTCAGGTGAATTTAAATTCAGGTGAATCACATGAAATTCACATGAATTTCACCTCAAACTAGCTTATACATGAAACTCATGTGAAATCAGTTCATGTTAGTTTCATGTGAATCTCATGTGAAAGTCACATGAATTTTTTACATGTGAAATTCAAGTGAATTTTTTAAATAACATAATGCAAATACCATCTAGATTTTCAAATTTTAATTAAAATCATGAAAAATACCATTATTTTTTGTGTAAATTTCAAGTGAAATCCATGTAAAAAAATTACATGTGAGATTGCTGAATTTTTCGTTTCTGTTCTCTAACTTTAGTTTGCCTCAACCAAATGTTATGAAACTTATACACAATGCTTATTACCACAAAACACAGATCAAGTTTGAAATTGGGTGCCGTCACGATAACGGTTCTTGAGTAATACCCCTTTATAAACATAAAAATTGCTGAGTTTTTTGTTTCCGTTCTCTAACTTTAGTTTGCCTCAATCAAACGTTATGAAACTTATACACAATGCTTATTACCACAGAATACAGATCAAGTTTGAAATTGGGTGGCGTCACTTTTACTGTTCTTGAGTTATGCCCCTTTATAAACATAAAAATTGCTGAATTTTTCATTTCCCTTTAACTTATAAACAATGCTTATTACCACAAAACTCAGATCAAGTACAAATTTGGATAGCATCACTTTTACCGTTCTTCAGTTATGTCCCTTTATATCTTTATATGATATGCAAGCGGGGGCATCATCTGTGTCCCATGGACACATTCCACATTTATTTTTGATGGAGTTTGTTTGGTCAATCTTTGGATTTGTATGTAGTTTTGTATTGGAATTACATGTATATCACTGCACTCGCTTTATGCTAACAACCATTTGCAAGCAATGGACTAAAATTTTTGAGCCAGTTGATCAGTTTGAAGAATTGATTTGAAATTGAAACTTTCATCGAAACACATTTCTTCTTGAAAAAGTGCAGTTATTAAATTTATTGGTATAACTTTTTGAAGCGGCAGAATATATATGTAGTGATGGTTGGGGTTGTCTGTCCATTTTCCATCATTTTGGTATCTGTAGTTTTATCTGAAGTTCTAATACTGTTGCTTTTGTTTATAGCATTATTACGAGATGATGCACAAACAGCAAGGGTACAGGTCAGCACTAAGCCAGTTATCACCACCTATACAGCAGCCGGTTATCAGATAGGACAAATGAGGGTGAGTGTCAATTACAAGTAGAAAGTTATGACCAATTTATTTTTTTAAAAGAAACTTGGACCAGATTGTGAAATGAAACGGGTTTTTTCACAAAAAATCATAAGATACTTTCATTTACTAGACTTGGTTTGAAAATGAAAGCGATAGTTACGAGAGTGGAACATGTTTCAGTTTCTTTTCATAGGTGAAAAAGCTCATGGGTAATATTTACAAACATTAAACAGAGTAACCAGTGCATAAACAGGATTCTTACTCAGATTAGTCCATGAGTCATAGCCTGGACTTATGAAAATCTGTCTGGACTCATCAACTTCTGAAATGGTTACTCTAAAAATGCATCAAGATTGTACAATGTTGTATTAGCTGATCTCAGTAATAATCATTTCAAAGAAAAAATTAAAATTTTTATCTAAAATTTAGATTTTATTTTAATAATCTGCTGTTTTTGTTGTGGAGAATAAGATAATAAGTTGCAGATTTTGTTTTTGTTCCCATTGTCTTACTCACCAGGGTAAAAAATGGTGATTCCATGAACCTGCTGTCACAAATTCTTAGTGATAACCACCTTGACTCGGTTGTTCATCTCTTTGTTAAATTTCAACAAAGGCTTGTTCATCCTGTGGTTACATTTAACCCTTTGTTAAATCCTTGGTTAAATAATTTAGATTTAACCTTTGCTTTGGATCTCTGTTAAAATTATAACCAAGGAATAGTTTTGTCTAAAAGTTCGATTCCCTGTTTATTACTGGATTGGAAAGGTCACTGAAGGTTTGATACAACATATTCTTCGTTTTCTACGACCCTTAGTAATCAAAACTGATTATTATGTTTTACACTTTACAGTCCTTCCCCCTTTTTTGCATCAAGGTTTACGTCTCTCAGACATTTTCAAATCAACACTTTTTTCGCCTTATCATCTATGTTAAAAAAAACTAAATTGAATATCTTTTAATAAGATAATGTATTTATCTATAATCAAATAATTAACTGTCAACGCTTCTTTTCAAGCAAAAGGTGCTCTCTGTCACGTCTGCGTTGTTGTTGTTCTATTAATGAACTTAAACGATGAAAAGTGATTTGTTTTATTAAGAAATCATATTTATTGACCAAACAGTTTTTTAGGACAGTACTGAGTAGAAAAGTGTTCATAATTCTTATTTAGATAAAAATTTAAATTCACTGAAAATTTAACCAAGGGTTACGTAACAGAGAGTTAAAAAGAAGTTGAACAACAGAATTTTAACCCTTGGTTACGTAACCCTCAGTTAAAAAATTTAACACTGAGTCATATTTAACCAAGGGTTATATTCAACAGAGAGATGAACAACCGAGTCCTGTATTGATAGTTATCTCATTGGCAAGCATACCACACCTCCTTATATTTATATCTGTATCCTATAAGTATGTCCTTGTTATTACAGTGGAACAGTGGACAGATAGTGAAGATGGGATGGACAGTTACAGAGGATCTGCTCTGTGTACAGGATGATGGTGTTGTCTTAGTCTATGACTTCTTCCTTAATTTCAAAAGAACATTTGGAATGGGACAGGTACATAATATTGCAATACTTTTTTATATGACCGAAAAAAATTTTGTGGTCGTATATTGGTATGACGTTGGCGTCGTCGTCGTCATCGTCGTCCGAAGACACATTGGTTTTTGCACTCTAACTTTAGTTTAAGTGTATGGATCTCTATGAAATTTTACCATAAGGTTCAATACCACAAAAGGAAGGTTGGGATTGATTTTGGGGGTTATGGTACCAACAGTTAAGGAATAAGGGGCCAAAAAGAAGCATTTTTGTAACTTCCAGACATTACTTGTGTGTTAGTGTATGGATCTCTTTGACATTGAACCACAAGGTTCCATATCACAAAGGGAATGCTGGGATTGATTTTGGGGGTAATTGCCTCCAAATTTTAGGAATTAAGGGCCAAAAAAGGGGCAAAAAACAAGTGTTTTTCTAGTTTCATGACAATAACTTGTGTGTAAGTGTATGGATCTTTATGAAATTTTACCATAAGGTTCAATACCACAAAAGGAAGGTTGGGATTGATTTTGGGGGTTATGGTACCAACAGTTAAGGAATTAGGGGTCAAAAAGGGGCCAAAAATAAGCATTTTTGTAACTTCCAGACATTACTTGTGTGTTAGTGTATGGATCTCTTTGACATTGAACCACAAGGTTCCATATCACAAAGGGAATGCTGGGATTGATTTTGGGGGTAATTGCCTCCAAATTTTAGGAATTAGGGGCCAAAAAAAGGGCAAAAAACAAGCGTTTTTCTAGTTTCATGACAATAACTTGTGTGTAAGTGTATGGATCTTTCTGAAATTGTACTACAAGGTTACATATCACAAAGGGAAAGCTGGAATTGAGTTTGGGGGTAATTGCCCAAAACATTTAGGAATAAGGGGCCAAAAATAAGCATTTTTCTAGTTTCCAGACAATAACTTGTATTCAAGTGTATGGATCTCTCTGAAATTGTACTGCAAGGTACCATACCACAAAGGGAATGCTGGGATTGATTTTGGGGGTAATTGCCTCAAAATTTTAGGAATTAGGGGCCATAAAGTGGGCAAAAAAACAAGCATTTTTTTAGTTTCAGGACAATAACTTGTGTGTAAGTGTATGGATCTTTATGAAATTGTACTACAAGGTTTCATATTACAAAGGGAAAGCTGGGTTTGAGTTTGGGGGTAATTGACCTAAACGTTTAGGAATTTGGGGCCAAAAAGGGGCCAAAAAACAAGCATTTTTCTAGTTTCCAGACAATAACTTGTGTTCAAGTGTACTGATCTCTCTGAAATTGTACTGCAAGGTACCATACCACAAAGGGAAGGCTGGGATTGAGTTTGGGGGTGATGAATCATAAGGGGGTTCAAAAAAATTTGAGGGGGGATTTTTTTTCCTTTTTTTCTTTAAAATTTTCCATTTTAAATTGATTATTTCTGATTTATATATAAAAGCAAAGAATAATGATATGGTTTATATAGGTAAATTAAAATTTTTTTTTAAGTTCTTAGACCACATTCATTCTGTGTCAGAAACCTATGCTGTGTCAAATATTTAATCACAATCCAAATTCAGTGCTGTATCAAGCTTGAATGTTGTGTCCATACTTGCCCCAACTCTTCAGGGTTCGACCTCTGCGGTCATATCAAGCTGCACCCAGCGGAGCATTTTATTATATCTGTTTGTTAATCTAAAAATCTTTGAAAACAGCAAAATTTCACTAAATTTGCACAGATTTTTCTATGTGACATGAGTTTGTGCACCTGGATTTTTTAATTTTTAATCTTAGTGATTTTGGGGGGTTTGCATACCATCTCATAGGTTAAAATATTTCTCCTTATGTTATTTGGAGATTTTTCAAAAAGATTGCATCGTAATTTTTTAACAAGATTGCTTCTTATGTTTTTATAAAGCATTACTTCCTAAATGTAAAAGTTTGTTAATTTGTTGTTCATTTTCATCAAGATTGCATTATCAAAGCAGGGGTATAAAATATATCAATCCTTGTACTATTGATATTTCTCCTTTCCTAATGTAGCAGTTTAGATTTATCATCAGCAATGTTTGTGCTCCTCTTTTTTTCCACAAAAATTCATTTTTTTGTCTCATTCAAATTGAATCTACCAGTAAATTTATTGTATTTATAAAAGTAAACATGCATTTGATATATGCAAATGAATCGATATTCTATTTGGTTTTCTACATGTTTGCCATTCATTTAAGGAAGCCAAAGATGTGAAGGTGATAGACTGTCAAATTTTTAATAGTTTCCAAGGAACTGGGATAGCCATTTTAACGAGTACATTTAGAATATTTATAATCAACAGTGTTGACGATCCTAGGATACGACGATTGGCTGAAGTTCCAGGTAAATACTGTCCATTCATTATTATTTGTTGTGTTTTGGCTGAAGTTGCAGGTAAATACTGTCCATTCATTATTATTTGTGGTGTTTTGGCTGAAGTTCCAGGTAAATACTGTCCATTCATTATTATTTGTGGTGTTTTGGCTGAAGTTCCAGGTAAATACTGTCCATTCATTATTATTTGTGGTGTTTTGGCTGAAGTTCCAGGTAAATGCTGTCCATTCATTATTATTTGTGGTGTTTTGGCTGAAGTTCCAGGTAAATGCTGTCCATTTATTATTATATGTGGTGTTTTGGGTAAAGGAGAACCAAAACTTTGAATGTTCAACGAAGTGTAAATTTTGGAAAGGTTTGTATGCCGACTTTGGCAAAACCACTAAAAAAATCAAACATCCACAAAAATACACACAATTTTTTTCCTCTATCAACAAATATTTATTTCTAAAAAATAAACGTGAAATGTTTGTAGCTGCTTATAGTTAATTGTTATTTATAAAATAATGTATATCTGCACAATGTAGAAGTTCCAATAAGGTCTCTTTATTTTTAGGCTCTAATCTCATTTTACACAAACTAGTAACTTGATTGTTTAAAAGTTAGGCATGGTTTATATCAACAAATATGGTCTGTTAAGTTTGTTCTCCATGAATTGATGGTAGCATGTTCCTCAATGATTGGTAGGGTATGAAATTTTTTAACCCAACACATACTGATGTGAGAATTTGTGAATTTGTCAATAAATTATATATAATATATTCCCACTGTGAATATTTTAGGATTGCAGACAGCACCTAGTAGCTGGACCATAATAAACTTAGATCGTCAGTCCCGAGCACTTGTAGCTAAAGGGAAAGAACTTTATTTGATTGATCATGGTGGACAGTTCCAGTATCAGGTAGATGACATATACCATTATTTCTTCTTCTCTTTATTCCCCCCTTTTTTTAACTGAAATTATGGTAAAACATATTGGAAGCATAAAACGGTATGTTTCCTAAGATCAGTGATTACCAATACATTATAAGTGAATAAAGCTTTTACTTTTATTTTTTGATGAAATAAATTAAGTTTAATCTACAAAAGAGATTTAAAAGTAAGGGATACAGCCATTTTTGTAAGAATCGTTAGCCCAGAACAAATAATCCTTGAACTAACACAAATCTAAGACCATGTATGTTTTAAAACTTAACACATTGTACTTTTTACTAGTCCCCTTTAAGGAGACTATATGTTCACTCAATCAATCAGTCTGGTTAGTTTTGTTCAGATTGAGCAATTTTTACAGAAATAGTTTTACTTGGACATAGAAATATTTGCTTGAAAATATCTGTTTATTGCACTTATTTTTGTAATGCCTGAATTAATAAATATTCAGCTTATAGTCATATCATATGAAGTGGAAAAATTTTAAGTTTTATCAGTTGAGCTACTTTTTCAGAAGTTTAGGCCGTTTGGTATAGAAAACTGCTTGTAAATATCAGTTTTTTTTTTAAAGAAAAAACTTTTGGTTCCTCAGTGGTTGAGATATGCTGACAATCATGACAATTGTTGAAAGTATTAGCATTCTATAAATATTGTACTTATATGTAATATAAGTACTGTTTATACAAACAGCCATACCAGCTTACACTTAATAATTAATGTGTTAATAAAGATGCTGACTTTCTGGATACATTTAATTAACATACACAGACCACTTGTTATATCTTGAGGTTAATTTCCCTGGCATTTGACACTTTGAAGTTACAACTGGAATCTCACTAGGAGGCACACTAATCCTTTCTTAATCAGATACATGTCAAAATAATCTCTGTTGGTGAGGAAATGCAGATTATGATACCAGATCTTATAAAAAATTAATTACACAACAATTAGTATATTATCTAAAGGTCAGTGAGGTCAGACTCCTCCCACTGAATGATTGATGTACCCTATCTGTGTGTAAAGTCATATGCATGGTCTTTGTATAATCACTTTCTTGGTTCATAGCAGTCTTGACTAGTTGATATAGTTTTACAGTGCTATTATTTAATTTACCGCCCACCATCCACCTTCCTAACACCTTCAATAATGTTTATTCTATAAACCCTATATTAAATGAAAATGAACCAAACCTCCTCAATCAAATGTTATAAAAGTGTTAACATGTCCAATGTTCCTGCCAGTAGGTGACATTGTATTGCTTATACAGAACTTTCAGAATGCTTGTAACTTTCTATTTTCAGAGTCCACAGATTTCAGCAGAGGTTAATGAATATGTAATGATGTCAGTTTCTTACAGTAATAAATACCTGGCCATGTTTACAGATTCAGGTGTAATCTGGATTGGCTCCTCAGATTTACAGGTAAATACCAGTAAATATATACATCACAATTTTCACAGAAACAACTGAACAGAATGCCTTCATATTTGGTCAGCAGCTTAACAGTAATGAGTGGTAACATGATTTCTCTTTTTCAAATCTGTCAGACACCTACATTATGTTTCCTAAAAATTTGAATTATGCTTAGGGTATGATTAGCACAACAACGCTTGCAATTTTGTTATGCATGTTTTTTTTGTTAATGAAAGGTTTCCAACAGACATTGACAAATGTTTTTATATTAAGCTGTTGCCTGAAATAATGTTAATAAATTAAGTGCAGTATATATGTTCTGGACCATATGAGTATTTGGACCGTATGCGTATGGTCATGACCATATGCGTATACTCACATGGTCCGAGCATGTGTGTGTGGTCGCACCATATGAATTTATACTAGTTTGATTATTTACAGGACTGACCATACAAGTATTTAGACCATATAGGCATTTTTTCCAAAAATCCTAACAAGTTACTAACTGAAATCTGTTATCTTTGACATATCGTCTGATTCTTCGCTAGAGTCAATTTAAAGCTGAAATCACAGGCGTTTTCGGCATGGACCTTTTTTTTGTTTTTCCCCAGTGTTTAGATTAGTTTTTTCAGAAAACAATACTTCTAATTTAACTTGTTTTCAATTAATTGTTTTGTTCTTGCTCCTATTCACATGATCCTACAATAACAGTAGTTTTATGTGCTGACCCTCTGTTCTAATTTTCCACATAAGAAAAACGGGACAGCATGTGTAAACCACTGTTATTGTAAGATCATATGAATAAGAGAAAGAGCACATTAGATAACTAAAACTAATTTGAAATATTTAAGAAATTTTAATTATTAAAAACAAATTTAAAAACCAAAATAAAGGAAAACAATGAAAAAAGAGGGTTCAATGGGGCCAAATGGAGGTGATTAAACAGTTGACTTGTTGATAAACGGTCCATTTAGATATTTCTTCAGGTTATTTTCCAAAGTCGTCATATTGTATTTGGTAATGAAAAATCAATAATGACCATGTAAAAATTCTTTAACTATAATTTTTACTTGTTCGTATAATTCACTTTATTTCATTAAGCATGTAACAATGATTACCATATAATAATAAGTCAAAATTTTATTTTTAGAAACTCTAGATTTATGACACCTTGAAGAGTCAGCATACCTTGTGCAATTTACAGAAAATGTAACTCATATTTAATTATTAGCCGGACCATTAAGTATATATGCATATGCATATGGTCATGATCATATGCATATTGTCCAAATACTCAAATGGTCTTGAACATATACATTTTCAGATATAATTAGTTTGAATGTATTTCTTTTTACAGAAATGTTATTGTGAATTTAATACAAAGTCACCACAGTGCCCACAACAATTAGCATGGTAAATACTGTTAATATTATTGCAATGTTTGTTATCTCAAATACTAATGGTAAATACTGTTTATGTTAATGCAATGTTTGTTATCTCAAATATTAAAGATGATTTAAAGTA